GAAAGTCTGAAGACTTGTGTACACGCATTCTAGGACAATCTCTAGGGTTAAAGGAAGCGTTTCCTAGTCAGCCCTATATACAAGATAATAGATGTCTTTTGCCAGTACCCCACTTTTAGAAAGCTATTTAAGAGGATGCTTGAATAAACTGTAATCTCCAGTATTGACTGAGAGCCCTCCTGAAATGACAAGATGTCTCTGTCTCATTCTTAACACCATTGGGTAACTAGAACTTCCCTGATCCACACTCCCCCACTCAGGGTCAGATCCGGGGCTGTTCGGCTGGTTCTGAACACAGCCCCAAAGATATCAGTCCAGGATAGATGACCCCTGTAGCGTAGGATTGATACAGGCTGGACCCCGGCAATCTGCATCTCTCACCCTGCTGAAAAATCAATTCGGAAGGGAACAAAGATTTTAATGGGAGACCAGAGATTTTGAAACTGTTGGGACAAGAACTGTAAGAAGTCACAGGCATAAGTAACTAAACTACAATAGCACGGGAAACAATCACAGGAATTGACAATTGGGATTACATGAAATTAAGAAGCTTCTGCTCAGTAAAGAAAACACTAGAATGGAGAATAGATGAAAGAATAGGAACAATTAATTCTTGACCAACTATATCAGACAGAAGATTAATATCTAAGATATATAGAGAATGAGGGGGAAAAAGGAATAAAAAGCAAATTGTGGATTCCAAAAACTAAGCAAATGTTCTGAAAAGACAATTCTCAAAATGAGAAATAAAACCAGACAATGAATTTGTGAAAAAGTGCTCATGGTCTGAGTAATCAGGGAAATTCAAATTACAGGTGCTTTGAAATTCCATCTCACTCCTCAGTAGAGTGGCATTGCTGCTCAGTTGGTAGTACTTCCTTATGATGCTAAAGCCCTGGTCTTGAGCTCCAGCATAGCATAAAAGCAAACGTGTTTTACATGCCCAAATTCCCAGCATGTGGGTACCAGAGACAAGAAAATCAAAGGTCATCCTTAATTACATAGCACGTTTGGTGTCTATGACTGTGGTGGTTTGAAGGAAAATGGCCCCCAAGGGGAGTGGCTCTATTAGATGGTGTGGCCTTGTTGGAGGAAGTGTGTCACTATGGGAGTAGGCTTTGAGGTCTCTTTTGCTCAAGCTTCCCTCAGTGTGATAGTCAGTTGACTTCCTGTTGCCTGCAAGATGTAGCACTCTCAGCTCCTGTCCATGTCTGCCTGCACGTTGCCATGCTCCCCCTTCCTGATCATAATGAACTGAACCTCTGAAACTGTAAGGAAGCCACCCCCAGTTAAATTTTTCCTTTATAAGAATTGCCATGGTCATGGTGTCTCTTCGCAGTAATAAAAATACCCTAAGACAACACCCTGCTTTAAAACAAAACTATATCAGAAAATGAGAAAACAGTACCGGTTATAAAGGAACAGCAATGAGACGAATAGGAAATGGAACAATCTTTCCGTAAACTCACTGTCATGTCTGCAGCCATAGCACAGCTGTCTTCGCCCCACACGCAGGGCTTAGCCAATGTCTTCATCACATACTTTCCCTTTCCAAAAAGGCAAGACTCTAGACCTCATATGAGATTTTGGATATATTTAATGGAACATGTTTTGTTTCTCTGACATTCCTAACAATTTCTGAAGCCTTCCCAGTTTTCACTTGAGCAAAGAGTTTTCATAAACTCATCAAATATTAAGATGCACCTTACTAAGTTATGAAGAGGAATATGGGCAGGAAATGGAAAAGGCAGTTATTCTGTTGAGAAGAAAATGATGAGCTGTAACATGGAATGAATATGTAGCTTAGTATGTCCACTTTGACATATTTTCAAAGCAATTTCTGAAAAACATTATACAATATTAAAGCACTATTTAAGCATCTAGCTAGTCAAATAAGCCCTACTTCTTGGAATGAGATAAAGCAAGCAATATTTAAATGACGTATAACAGTAATATGAGACAGAATTGGCATCAGTAGATTGAAGAAAACCACCATCAGTTACTGTAGATATAAGATCTCTGACAAAGATGAGCTACCAAACCTTACCAACACACAATATTTTAAGGACTGTGACAGAATGTTATTCCAAACACAATAATCACAACGCACTAGGAAATACCATTATTTACCAACACTCACTAAATTTCACATGAATTATATATCAATAATGTTCTATACGGTCTTTGGAGAGAAAAATCCTCTAAAGTCTCCAAACCAAGTCTTGTTGTGATAAAAATCTAGTATTTGGGATCCTTTCAGTGTTCAAAATTGAAGCAATGTAAGACTTTGGTTTTCTAACAAATTGATATACTCAGACTTGAGACATCTGCATGACTTTGATATCTGCAATGTTTTTCAGCCATACCAAACAATGATATATTATAAATTATAAGCAATATTTTCATGCTTTGCTAATATCCCAGTTTACCTTTGGTTGCTGTTTTAATACACAGACAAAAAGCAACTTGGGGAGGGAAGGGTTTATTTAAGCTGACAGGTTACAGTTCATCAGCAGAGAAACCAAGGCAGGAATTCAAGGCAGCAACCTGGGGGCATGAAATGAAGTGGAGACCATGGAGGAATGCTGTTTACTGGCTTTTACCATGGCTTGCTCAGTTTAGTTTCTTATATAGGCCTGAACCACCTGCCCAGGGTTGGTTCCATTAACAGCGGGCTTGTCTTTCCCAAATTAGTCGTTAATCAAGAAAATGTTCCAAAGACATGCTTATAGGCTACCCAGATGCAAACAATTTTCCAGTTGAGGTCCCTTCTTCTCAGATGGTTCCAGTTTATGTAACAATGATAAAAACTAAACAGCACAGTTGATTTTTTTGCCAACTTGATACTCAAATACATTGCCATTAAACTATAACCTTTCCTTTCTGGTCTATCCCCCATGGTCTCATGTTAATATCATAGTATAAAACATAGTATAATTTTAAGGGCTGGAGAGATGGCTCAGAGGTTAAGCACACTGACTACTCTTCTAGAGGTCCTGAGTTCAATTTTCAGCAACCACATGGTGGCTCACAACCAGCTTTAATGAGATCTGGTACTCTCTTTGGGCCAGCAGGCATACATGCAGGCAGAATACTGTATACATAATAATAAATCTTAAAAGAAAATAGTATAGTTTTAAAAGACTCATAGTCTTTAAACAAATCCATACACTTAAAAGTCCAAGATCTTCTTAAAAATCTGTAGTCTCTTAACTGTATGATAAATTAAATTCTTCCTATAATATTCAAAATAAATTCATGCCTTCTTAGACCAAGAGGGAAGAGCCAGGATACAATTACAATGAAACCAGAGAAAAACCCAAATCCAACAGTATAAATATTCAGTGTTCAATGTCTGGGATTTGCTCATGATCTTCTGGGTCTGAAAGGATATAGGTAGTCCCATCTATCCTGATATGGCATCTAGAGACACAGCTTGTTCTGCAAGCTCAGGCCTACTCCACTCTATATATGTGGGTGGCCTTGATGCTCATCCCAGTGTTGGCATCTCCAACTCTGGATTCTCCAATGAAACTGGGCTTGCACCTTCAGCAATGGACTTTACCGGCTTCTTTCGGATCTACAACCATGCCACGTCACCAGGCTTCAGCTTTTCCGCATAACACCTCTAATCCTGGCGTTCTCATGACAACTGAGACTGCATCTTCACTGACAGCCTCTTCAGTATGGCCTCACATAGTGTCAATAATAAGCTGCTTTCTATGACCCCTTAAGTCCTGCAGCTTTCTGGCCAACAAAATCAGTACCACAGGGTAGACTTTTACACATTTCCAAGTTTTAATGCCAGCTTGAGATGCAGCCTTGGCCTCATCTGAACTACAAATCCTGGAGACTGATATTGAGAAAATAACTTTGCAGAAGACTTTACCTCAATGCCGGGCTCTTACAAACTAGAGCTGGGTTTTTTTGTTTTTTTGTTTTTGTTATTTGTTTTTTTTTTCAGCTCCAGCTAATGAGCGTTAATTGTCTTAATATCCAAAGATTTTACTTCAGTGGTTCTGCTCTCGCATTAATCAAAGCTGTTTCTTCAGCCCCAGCTGGACAGAAATCACAGGTTCATAAATAAAATAAATCACCAGACAGCCCTGATAAATAATGGAAGAAACAGAAGTAGCCACATTTAAATTGAAGACCTAATGCAAGCTCATTTATGCTCCTTGCTTTCCTCCGGAACTTTACAAGCTAGAGTTCCACTGCCTGCATCTCTCTCAACAGTCCGATTTCCCAAGCTCCTTTAACATTTCAGTTAGCTCTGAGTACTTGATGGACTTTGCAAAGCTCAAAATGTTTCCACAATCCTCCTGGGAATTATGTACTCTTTTCCATAAGCTTGGCCAGGTCCATCATAGGAATACCCCCATGATTCTAATTTGTTCTGGTTTGCTTTTGGTTGCTGTGACAAAACACTGACCAAAAGCAACCTGGGGAAGAAAGGGTTTATTCAAGCTCAAAAGTTACATCACCAAGGGAAGACAAGGCAAGAACCCAAGAAGGAATTGAGGTAGGACCTGAACCATGGAACATAGAAGAACACTGTTTACTGGCTTTTCCATGGCCTATTCTGAGCTCTTCTTCCCTCCTTCCTTCCTCCCTCCCTCCCTCCCTCCCTTCCTTCCTTCCTTCCTTTCTTCCTTCCTTCCTTCCTCTTTTCTTAAATTATTTTTAAGATGTATTTATTTATGTATTTGAGTGTTTTACATGCATGTATTATGTATACCAGGTGCATTCCTGGTGCCTGTGGTGATCAGAAAAAGATGTTGAATGCTTTGGAGCCACCATGTAGGTGTTGGGAACTGAACTTGGGTCCTCTGTAAGAACAAAGAGTGATGTTAACCATTGAGTCATCTCTCCAGCCCTTCAGCTTGCATTCTTATACAATTCAGGGACCACCTTCTCAGAGGTGACACCACCCACAGTGAGACAGACCATCCCACACTAATCATTAGTGAAGAAAACACCCCCAAAACACACCCAGGGACTGATAGACAATTCAATTCATGTTCTTTCTTCCCAGGTATCTCTAATTTGTGCCAACACAAACTAACCAACACAGCCAATACAATTCACAGGATTTGTCTCCAATAATTTCCATATATTTCTTTAGAAGTAAGTGATTGGGTAATGATTGCTACACCATTTACACAGTGATTTCTAGTGTAGCAAATTTTCTCTTTTCATGTTTATATATTTGAAAATGATCTTCCAGTGTACATGTGTACAGTTTCTGTGGAATTCACTCACAGTTAATGAAGATCTGCCCTTGCTTAAAGGCTTAGCCACATTGTATTGGAAGAGTTTCTCAACAATACTTCTGGTGATTATGTTGTGAAGAATAAAGGATTTCCCATGTATATTAAATTTGTAGGATTTCTCTCATATGTAATATTTTGATGGTGTGTATAAAATAACTATTCAACAGTTGAGACACCTCCTTTGCCTTTACAAGGTCTGTCCAGTACTAAATTGATGGTGTTGAAGAAGGGTTGAATTATTAGTAAATTCCTTGCAATTTTATTGTATCGAATTATTCTTACTGTACTGAATTATAGGTGAACATTATTGAAGGCTTTGTAACAGTGTGCATTAATCTGGATTTTCTCTAGTATGAATTCTGTTGTGTTTAGTAAAGCCTGTACAAGTTTTAAGAGTATTGCTAAGTTGTTCACATTTATAGGGCTTTTCTCTACTATGGAGTCTGCAATGATGTTTAAGGTTTGAGGAAGAGGTAAAAGCTTTGCCACAGTCATCACATTTGTAGGGCTTCTCCCCAGTGTGAATTCTTTCATGTTGAGTAAGGCTTGTAGTACGAGTGAAGGCTTTGCCACAGTCTTTGCATTTGTAGGGTTTCTCTCCAGTATGAATTCTTTGGTGTCGAGTTAGATTATGACGGTTATTAAAGGCTTTGTCACATTCGTTGCACTTATAGGGTTTTTCTCCACTATGAATTCTCTGGTGTATCATAAAGGATGAATAAATGCTAAAGGCTTTTCCACACTCATCACATTTATACGGTTTCTCTCCAGTATGAACTCTCTGATGGCAAATAAGATTGGAAGAACAGTAAAAGGCCTTGCTACATTCCTTGCATTTGTAGGGTTTCTCGCCAATGTGGATTTTCAGATGCTTCTGCAGGTATGAAGCAAAAGTAAAGGCCTGGCCACACTCGTCACATTTGTAGAGTTTCTCTTCAATATGTATTTGTTGGTGTTGGTTAAGGCTGGAAGAACAGTTAAAAGCTTTACCACATTTTTCACATTTGTAGGGTTTTTCTCCAGTATGGATCGTCTGGTGTTTAGAAAGAATGCAGCGACCATTAAACGCCTTGCCACATTCTTCACATTTGAAAGGTTTCTCTCCGGTATGAATCCTCTGGTGGTTCAAAAGCGTTGAGAGAACATTAAATGCCTTGCCACACTCTTCACACTTGTAGGGTTTCTCTCCAGTGTGAACTCTTCGGTGAACAACAAGGCTTGAACAAGCAGTAAAAGTTTTGCCACACTCTTCACATTTGTAGGGTTTCTCTCCAGTATGGATTCTTTGATGTTGTTTAAGGCTGGAAGAATAGTTAAAAGCTTTGCCACACTGTTCACATTTGTAGGGTTTCTCTCCTGTATGAATTCTCTGGTGTTGAACAAGCAGTGATTTTGATCCTGTTGAGTAAAGGTTGAGGTATCACTAAAAGCATGCAGCTATACTTTAAATTTAAAATGCTTAGTTTTAATGTGCATACTCTTCACTCATGGTTACATATTTAAATGTAATTAAGAATCACATAAAAAAGAATCACATAAATGGGAAACTATAGACACTTACACACTATAATCCTTCAGCATGATTTTAAAAAAGCGGTAAGTGTGAAAACCCCTAAACTACCACTGAATTGTGAATATGAAGACAATGAAGAACAAACAAATAATGGAGCATTATTACACCTAAATAGCTAAGCCAGACATAATAACTATAGTGAGGACACTATGCTAAAGGAAATAAGCCCAGTGTATGATGTCAGTTGATCGTATTGTTGGTCTTACAGAGAAACTCAAAGTAGCAAAATTTGTGAGGCTGGCAACACACTGGTTGGTTGAACACACTGGAAAAAAATATAGCATTTCTTATGTGTATGGGGCTTCAACTCTCAAAGCTATAAAATTGTATGCAGATATGCAACATAGAATGTCCCTAACACTATGAAACAATACACTTGAAATGTGTAAGACAGTGTTATGTTTTAAACACAATTGAAGCACAATTTCTAGAAATACTCACTTAGTAGGACACAACAACCATTAAATAAATATTGAAGTGAGAGTTGAGTATGGCGACACATGCGTTTATTCTCAGCACTTGGCAAGCAGAAAGATCTCTAAGTTTGAGGCCAGCCTTGTCTACAGAGTGAGTTCTAGGACAGCCAAGGCAATACAGAGAAATCCTGCCTTAAAAAGTCACACACACACACAAAAGAACAAGTTGAGAAAATAAATATGACATGAAAACAAGAGTAATATTTTTACAGACAAAGGAGAACATATGACTTTGTTTTTAATAGACATGGATTCTAGATATTTTAAATCTTTACAGTGTCTTAAAGAATACAATATCTAATGTAGTAATTTACAAAAAAACATAGGGTACACTTGAGTAAATAATTATATGTGAAGCAATCAAAATCACAAAAAATAAACACAGAAAATAGAGCTGTAAAATGAGAAAAAGGAAAGTTTGGGCTCATAAAATTCTGAAAGACTATGGAAGGGGTGTTTAACAAAACCACTCTAAGGGTTTGCAATTTTCAAATATCCACATATCCAGCAAAGTCATACCCTTTAATCAATGACGCTGAATATACGGCAGAAAATAAAAACATTTGCAAAAATAAATTACAGGACCGGCAAAATGCCTCGGTGGGTAAGCCTGCCCACCTATGGTCCATTCTACAACCCACATGTGGAATGAGAAAACCAACTCCTTTGAAATTATTTTAAAATTTTAATTAAAATATACTTACATTACTTTCCCTTTCCTTTCCTCCTCCCAATCCTAGTCATGTTCACTTCCCTAATTCCTCCCATGCCCCCGATATTAAGTTGAATGCCTTTTTTCTTTGGTTATACTATTCACACACTCAAAATTGCATAAATATAGAAGGATAATCACTCACATATAAGTATATAACTACAATAACTCACAAAGAGCTCTATTTTGACTAATGAGTTTGTAAACGAAATTTGAGAATTGCATTTGTGGTGTTACAGTCTTACAAAGGCTCTCCCCATAGATTCTAAGAACCGGTGTGAGTTTTCTGAGCTGTGGGAAACAAAGTTATAATCTGGACCCTCACATGCAAAATGGTCTTTAGGGCTAGGGAGATAAGTCCGCAGTTAAAACTGTCTGTCACTCAAGTATGAAGATTTAAGGTTTGGATCCCCTTGTAAATGCAAGACGAGCATGGTGGACATCTTGTAATTCCAAGCGTGGAAGGCAGAGACAGGGAATCCCTTAAGCAAACTGGCTGAGGAGACTAACTATACTGGCTAGCTCTGAATTCAATGGAGATATCCTGCCTCAATAAATAAGGTAGAAGAGCTGTCATACAACATGCACACATACATACACACACATCCAAATACACACATACACCGAGTACTACACAGACATATACGCATGCATATATACACATCTAAATGCACACACACCCTGAGTGCTTCACAGACATATATGCATGCATACAAACACACACATCCAAATGCACACACACCTCCGAGTGCTACACAGACCTAAAGTTAAAAAAAAGAATTTGGACAATCTTCATAACAACATGCCAACATGCAGCATTCGGTAAAGCGGAATGGAGAGGCTGGACATGACAAGCCTCTAACAGGAGATGTCCTTTAATGGTAAGACAAAATATTTTCGCTTAAAACATAATTCTCCATGCAGGTTGGGAGGCCATGCTTTATTTTGCATTCCTGGGTGGCTCACGTGTATGCACTGACTCACTTATTCCTACATACCTGGGTGTGCGCCCACTCGTCTCTTCACACTCCAAGGCTCTTGTCTTTGTTCAAGCAATGTGATCAGATGTGGCTTAGAGACAGCAAGACCTGTTTGGAAGAGGAAACAAGATGCTTGGCTGTTTTCTCCTGGAAATTACCATGTGCTCAAAGGAAAGAGATGATAAAAGATTGTGGGAAATTCTATCTTTAAACACCTCCTGAAGGATAGGGTGCTTGTGAGTAATTTAAAACCTGCAGATTCTGAGCCTCATTACAAGGAGAAGTATTAAGGTGGGAGGGTGCTCTGTGCCTCATGCAGCTGAGTTTCTAACATTGATACTACAGTGAAGGACACATACTTCCAAAAACAGGTTAAAAAAGATGGGGGGAGGAATACAATGTTTCTCAGCACATCACATTCCACTTTTTTCTATAAAAGCCGTCATATGAACTACATTGTTGGACAGCATAAGCTCCCATGAGAGAGTCTACAAATGGAGGCAGTCACATGTTGACAGTGAACTAAGAGCTCACAAAGGACATGATCCTCACCCAGGAACACAAGGTGGCTGTAATTCTCCAGCATCACTTCCCTGTACAGATTCCACTGAGCAAGGTCCAGGCATTCCCTCTCCTCTGCAGAGAAATCAATGGCCACATCTCCAAATGAGAGCAGTTTCTGAAATCAAATGAAACCAATAGCACATTGAATAATACAAGCACTGAGTAGTCAATGTGCTTGGAGTCATAATTATAATTTTGCCAAAGACAAAATTAAAGCTAGAAATTATTATGACATGGGTATGTAATATTAGATATTTTCAAATGAAATGCCTCGTATTCATCCTCTTTAAAGAAAGAGGATGGCCGGGCGTTGTTGGCGCACGCCTTTAATCCCAGCACTCGGGAGGCAGAGGCAGGCAGATCTCTGTGAGTTCGAGGCCAGCCTGGTCTACAGAGTGAGTTCCAGGACAGCCTCCAAAACAATACAGAGAAACCCTGTCTCGAAAAACCAAAAAAATAAAAAAATAAAAAATAAAAAAATAAAAAAAATAAAGAAAGAGGATGGCATAAGATCAAAAACTTACATGAAAATAATTTTATGGTAAAATGTAAAATGTAGGAATCCACAGAAATACATATGGTGTGGTATGCTTGTATCATATACCACACATGACCTACATTGTCACAGGACAAAGCTATGCTGTGCACACCTCGTCTAGCACTGCAACATCAGTGGAGCGGGTCCATACACATGAAAAGGAACAGTTAGACATAGTTTTTGAAAGAGCTGACAGCCAGACTTGAAATGTATCATGCAATATGAGAACCATCTACAAACTCAGTAGCAGGAATTATAAAAACTCCCAAAGTAGATACTATGAAAATCTCTGCTCCTTGTGTTAAGTGTTTTTGATTCACATTCAAACCCGTCCATATAACTTCTGCATTTTCTCCCAATGGCCTCTGGAATGTCATATGGAAGACCAGAAAGTGAATTCAATACCCAGTAAACTATTCCTTCAAAGTTATCTAAGAATAGCATTTCTAATATAAAAAAATTACTTCAAGATTTAAGTAAAAAAAAGCAACTTCTTCCCCCATATCGTCATTTACACATGCATTAGAATACAAAGGGCCTTGGAGGAAAGGGCCGGGACTGCATACCACGGGAGACTGGACTCCTCCCTGAGGAAGAGGAAGGGAATCCCACATTAGCAGTTTGGTTTCTGGCTGGATGTGTCAATAGCACATGCTATGAGTGTGGTCATCAGTACCTACATGCAAAGCAGGGGTTCTGTTCTGGCTACAAGTAAGGAAGCATTCTTTACACAGTTGAATCTGTGTTATAAAGACTGGGGGAGGCACCTGTGGTGGTTTGAATGAGAAGGACCCTCATAGACTCATAGATTTGAATACCTGGTCACCAAGAGTGGCACTATTTGAAAGAATTAAGAGGTGTGGCCTTGTTTGGAGGAAGTGTGTCACTGGGAATAGACTTTGAGGTTTCAAAAATCCCACTCCAAGCCCAGAGTCTTTCTTCCTGCTTCCTGTGGATCCAGTTGTAGAACTTTTACACAGTTCTCCAGCACCCTGTCTGTCTGCACACCACCACGTTCCCCACCATGCCCTCTGCCATGATGACAATGGGATAAACCTCTGAAGCTGAAGCTGTCAGCCAGCCCCAATTAAATGCTTTTCTTTATGAGAGTTGCCATGGCCATGATATCTCTTCACATTAATAGAACACTAAGACAGCATCTGAGGGAGGGAGGGAGGGAAGGAGGGAGGGAAAGAAGGAGGGAGAGAAAGAGAGAGAGACAGAAAAACAGAGAGAGGGAGGGAGGGGGAGAGAGAGAGAGAGACAGAAAAACAGAGAGAGGGAGGGAGGGAGGGGGAGAGAGAGAGACAGAAAAACAGAGAGAGGGAGGGAGGGAGGGGAGAGAGAGAGAGAGAGAGAGAGAGAGAGAGAGAGAGAGAGAGAGAGAGAGAGAGAGAGAGAGAAGAATGCAAGCCACGGTGGGCTTCACCAGTCAAGCAGAGTGAAATAGGAAATGATGGAAGTCTCAGATTAGATGTGAACTAAGCCAACTGGAAGAGCTCAGGGAAAGTCAGAAGAAAGCATCATGAGCTCATGACAGAAAATAACATGGGTAGATATGCAAAAAGAACAAACATCCCCTGCAAATGTTGGGGAATATTTAAATAAGGCAAGGAGTGAATCCAAACAGTATCCATCACCAGAAATATGTTAGTGAGAAAAATTTAAATGACATGTCAAATACAGTCAATAGAAATTTTGAGGACATGTGGGAGTGTGGAAAGTCACCGCACGTCAATTATGGACTTCTGTCATTTCATAAGTTGTCTTTAAAAAACTTTTTTTTGCACAGTTGCATTTAGCCTAGGGTTGCCTTGGATCTTCTATGAAGCAGAGGATAACCTTAAACCCCTGATTTCCTGACTCCACTTTGGAAAAGCAGGGATGAGAGGATGCAGAAAAAAGTTTTCTTCTCAACCACAGGTTTGCTCACTTTAAATCACATGCATACAGGAAGGGTTTGTATACGTGAGCATGCTGCCGCAGCATCTCAACATTGTAAGAAGCCAGCGTCGCCACTCTGTGCTTTTCTTACATTAAACAATGCAAACCACGGTGCTGTTATTGTCCTGCTGGATAGTGGCATTAACTAGAAAGTGTCCACTGTTTTAATTATACTTGTATACCTCACAGAAAATGTTGGCATTTGAGATGAGGTGGTTTGAAGCCCAGGCTTCCTAAGAGTAGACTTCAATGTCAGACGACAGTCTCCAGCTCACAAACATTTGCTTTGACTGAAAAGTGAAAAGCAGGAAGGACAGGGGGAGGAGCCAACACTGTGTCAATCACAGGACCCTGAGAGAGCCAGAACTCTTCAAAATCACCTTTCAGTCTCTCCGACACACTATAGTACTTGGATAAGTCTTTCTAGAACTGGTTAGGAAGCATCGGGGAAGCTGGATGCCCTGTTCAGTGACAGAGTGGGTTTAAGTGAGTTTAGACACCGCAGATGGCATATGAAAGGCAGAAGAGCAGCTTGTGATGCGACAACAATGCAGACAGCCTCTCAGATGCAGGGCTGCTTCTTCCCAGAGGCATTCAAGCCCCCTCCCAAATGTCACCAACAACCCCTACACCCAAGTCCATTCCCAGGCCAACTCATGTCTCCATTCTGAAAAGGAGTCCGAACACACTGTCTCTGCAGGAACTGGATGATCTATTATTTTCTAGTGCTTTTCACTCTGCACCATGGAGTGAATAGTTGTTAGCCTGGTGCACAACCCAAATCTTTCCCTCTAGTGGATTATTCTGCCCTTACTTACATAAGAGTGTCAGTCCCAGGAGTCAGGTCACATTGATGATCGTGAAGGACTCCTATTCAAAATAAACCTAACAATTCATTCCAAAGAAAACTGTACCAACATTCCACACACCAATCACCCTTGCGGGACTCCCTGTACCTGCAAACAAACTAGTTTAGGAACTTCTGTCAACTCAAACCAAGAGTCCTAGGCTGGCTATAAAGTACAAGAGAGACCAGAAACCCAGTTTGCTTTAGATGCCATGGGAAATGCCAGCTGCCGTGTGAACATAGTTTCTTCAGTGAGCTACCAGCACAGGATCCGGGCTGTCAAATGCCCCACCTTGTCAGGGCGACCCCGGATTTCCTGAAGTTCTTACTCCCGGGGCCTGAGCCAGCTCCTCTGTCCCAGAAGCGCGGGGTGGACCCCGCAGGAAGCCTCGTGCAAACAAAGCTTAGAACCAACCCCACTGCCCTCTCGCAGCCCTGCGGGGGTTGGCCCAGCCTAGGTCAGCAGAGCACCTCCAAGTCAGCTTCTTCCCTCTTCCCACCCACAAGCCCTCCGGACCCGCCACCCTGCACGGTCCCTCAGGCCTGTAGGGCTGCGCTGCACCCTGCACCAACCTCCATGTCAGAGATGCAAACCGAGTACTGAGCGGGATCCGATTCTTGCCCAACTTTGGGAAAGAAGCATGAGTGCAGACCGAATGCGGAAACGCGGTTTCCAGAGCGGCTCCTCGTGACATCATAGAGGGGAGACTACATTTCCCACAAGTCTGTGCGAAGGAGTGTCATGCTACCCAAGACGATGATTGGTACAGTTGCTGGGTTTCTGCCCTCAGTGTAGATAAGGATGTGGGGATGGTGGGGAGGGAGGAAGCGGGGTGGAGGGAGAATCAGCCTTTGCTCTGGGACCCCCACAGAGAGTCAGGCTGCTTTTAAAATGTTGAATTCACTACAGGAGATGTTTGAGTGTCAGCCAAGCCTTTGACAGTTGTATTAATTAGGTTTGCCGGTTATTTCTGGTCAACATGTTGCGATTTAGAACTTAAAAGTCAACTTATTATGGAATCTTATTTTGATGTGTAACGTTCACATCGACTCGGTTTTACTTTAAAAATAATTCTAGGGAAAAAAATGGAAATGACTGTTTCTCTTTAAGGTGATTTTTGAAACCAGCCTGTGTGGCCCTCCCTGTTGTCACAGCTCCTCAGGAGCCTTGAGACAGAAGAACCCCAAACCCAAGGCTAACCTGGGCAAAATGGAAGGGATCTTGTTTCAGAGTAAAAAGGGGTTAGGGAGTGTCTTAGGGACAAAGAAAGACCTTGATTACGGAGGCTTTGGCTTAAAACTCAGAACCACACGCACATAACCAAACCCAGAAGCACACACATAGCCACTTGTTCTGTAGTGACACAGTGTGCACCATACATGGATAACTATACTCTGGGGTCCGTACAGCTAAGGGCGCGGGTCGGGAAAACAGAGATATTTAAATCACCGAACAAAGTCAAAAAGTTCAGCTGTCTGATGTTTACTTGCAAAGAAATCCCATCATCTATCTCAGGATCTTTGCAATCTGTCTGTCTGTAAGTCCCTTGTCCACACTTTCACCCATTAATCCGTGTAAGCGATTTCATCCAGTTCTCCCTGCTTTTTCATAAACTCAGGCATGTCTTCATTGTCGGGTGTGCTGTGAGCTCATGCTCACCTCCCCTGCTGCACTCCCAAGTGGAGGGGCACAGCTCCTGGGAGCACATGGGTGTGTATAATCACCCCCAGTCCATCGTCATCCGTTGTTAAATTCCCTGTGCAGAGCTTTGAACTGTCCAGTTTCCTCTCTTTTCTGACCCTGAAATTGATTCCATTTGACAATAATTAGAAAGTCACAAGTATCTGCCTTCAACTTGTCTCAATTTCTCCAAATCAGGGCACAGAAACAGTTTATCCTTAGATGAAAAGGTATCAGAAATAGTTTCGTGGGAATATCCAATGAGCCCATTGGGACAAGCCAGATTGCCACTGTTCAGTATTAAGACCTCCTATTTCTTAGTAGGAAGGTTTATTCCCTTAGTAGGAAGGTTTATTCCTGTACGGATCATGCAGAAATCAAAGCACAAACCTCTTGCAGGAGGAAGAGTTTATGCTCACATGATGGACACTGACTCGCTCATGACAAACAAAGCTGTTTCTGAGCTGACGGAACATCGCATAGTTATTTTTCATAACCATAAGGAAATCATATTGTCTTTTTTTCTTCCATGCAGTGATTGAGGCTGGGCTTTAATAATTAGTGACATGGATTCAAGTATTTTTGTACTATTAGGCAGGGAAGCATGAACTAAACAGGCTCTGTGGTAAATATGAAGAGATGTGTAGGTGATGGCCTTAATTACAGCTTGTCCCACCATCTTTTATCATTTGGTCCCCAGTGAGTGGTGCTATTTGGATAGGATGGGGTGACTGGTGGTTTGAAAGAAATTGACCCCCAAAGGGTGTGGCTCTATTAGGAGGTGTGGTTTTGCTGGAGTTCGTATGCCCTTGTTGGAGGAAGTATGCCATTGTGGAAGTGGGCTTTGAGGTCTCATATATGCTCAAGCCATGCCCAGTATTTCAGATCACTGCCTGTTGCCTACATAACAAGATGTAAAATTCTCAACTCTTCTCCAGCACCATGTCTGCTTGCATGCTGTAATGTCCCACCCGGATGATAATGGACTAAACTTCTGAATCCATAAGTCATATAGAACTACAAAGAATTTAATTAAATCTTCTTTATTATAGTTGCTGTGGTCATGGTGTCTCTTGAGAATAATAGAAATCCTAACTAGAAAGTGAACTGCTGAGGGAATTTTGTCACTGAGGTTGGGCTTTGAAAGTTTAATGATTTGAGTCATTTCTAGTTCACCCTCTCAGCTTTCTGTGTGAGGTCTATGAGCTCTTATCCTCTCTCCTGGTTTCCTTGCCTGTATCTTGCTGCCATGTCTCCCTGCCATGGTAGCCTCTTATCTTTCTGGATTCTTTAACAAAATAAACCCTTTCTTCAGTAAGTTGCCTTGATCATGATGTTTTATTCCAACCATAGAAAAGGAATTCAGGACAGTTGTGACAGAAGGGTGTTAGAACCATACAAGGTCTAGGAATGATTGCTGTATATCTTACCAGTCCTTACTATTGAATGATGTAGTGGAGGAACCGTGTGTCTGGTAACTTTTAGTTTCTAGTAATTTGACAAATTATTGCATTCTTTTAAAAATAATACACAGATAAGCCTGATACCCTCTGCCCAAGTTAATCATCACTAAGAGTTCAGACTACATGCAGCATGCTTAAAATAATGCTCATGATTACATACAGACATAAAAGTCTGTAGGCAGACTTTTCTGTCCCACCAGTCAGTTCCCAAATAACCATCCATGAGGGACTTGATACTTTATATAGATTTGAACTAGAAATATTGCAATATAAATAGAAGGGACTAGACCCTCACTCAACCCCCTGCTTTAGCAGCCATGACAGACTACAGAAAAGATATATATGTAGGCCTCTGACTCAGCACATAACACAAAGAAACTCCCTACCACCCCCTCCAGTCTCCTAGATACTTAGTTCCTAATAACCGTCTGGCCACAAAAGAAACTCCAGGAGAGACCAAAACCTCCCCTGTAGTCTCCAGGATACAGTTTTGAAAACTGTTGGTATCTATGAACAACAGGCCACCTGCAAGCAACAAGACAAAGCCATAGAAAACACAGAATGTTCCTTCACAGCACTGACCAATGAAAATAATTGGTACACAGGTATTTCATGCCAAAATGTTGTTCCCAAATGTCAACCAATCAGAAACCAACCTGTACCTACTGATATAATCCTGTAAATTTTGTCTTTAAAACCTAGCAGTGGTGGTGCATGCCTTTAATCCCAGCACTCAGGAGGCAGAAGCAGGTGGATCTCTGTGAGTTCTAGGCCAGCTTGGTCTACAAAGAGCTACAAAGAGCTAGTTCCAGGACAGCCTCCAAATCACAGAGAAACTCTGTCTCGAAAAACAAAAACAAGCAAACAAACAAACAAGAAACCTAGCAGTAGACAGGGAACTTCACTCACTCTGGTGGCTGCTGCATCAGTCAGCTAGATGAGGTCCCTGTCATGGGTGGATGAATAATAAAACCTTTCTTTTATAGTTCAGTGGGTCTGTCTCCCTGGTGGTCTTTGGGGAATCTTTGAAACTTGGGCACAACATAAATATATTAAATTAAATTGTGATAACTCTGTAGGCAGACTTTTCTGTCCCACCAGTCAGTTTCCAAATAACCACACCAAGACTTATTAATTATGAATGCTTGTTCAATAGCTCAAGCTTCTTCCTAGCTAACTCTTATATTTTAGATTAACCCATATTTCCTACCCACACTCTGTAACATGGTTTGGTGCCTTTTTTCAGTATGGCAAGTCTATCTCCTCTCCACGTCTCTGCAAGATCCTGAGATTCCTCCCTCCTTTTCGTTCACACTCTTTGTCTGCAAGTACCAACTAACCTCTACCTGTCCAGCTATTGGTCAGTCAGCTTCTTTATTAAACCAATCACAATGACTTTTTATATTCACACAATGTAAAGAAATATTCCACATAGCTCAATATATGCACTGTGGGAGATTAAATTTCATATGTCTTCACGCATGGCCCCCAGTAGATGAACTGTCTGGAAAGATTTAAGAGGTATGGTCTTCAGAGAAGGTGTGTGGTTGTGAGTGTGTTGAAACCCATCTTTGTGGGGCTTCAGTTGGATCCAGACAACTTGCCTGGTATGTACTTGAGAGGGGGAGTGTGGATTGAGAAATGGCAGGTGAAGAAGCTAAGAATAAGACAGAGACCCAGGCTATAGTCAGGATGGCAATCCAGTGAATACTGAATGCCCCAAGTTTATTCTTCAACATTCTTGAGTACCCCAACCAAACAGAGGGACATGGTAAAAGACTTCTTTATCATGTATAAGGAACAGACTTTCTTCCTTAATCCTCCAAACATTTGGTAACCACACCTTAGACTCAATATCTCATTATCTGGCCTCGAGGGTCAAGAGTAACCACATCTCAAAACAAGTCTGCTATTATTTAGATAAAACATCTATGACCAAGACCAAACATGCTACTGCAGCCATGCCTTAGGCCTTTAGGATTTTTTCCTTTTTTTTTGAGACAGGTTTTGGAGGCTAGCTCGTGTAGACCAGGCTAGCCTCAAACTCACAGATATCCACCTGCCTCTGCCTCGTGAGTTCTGGGATTAAATGTTGGGGACTGCTAGAACCTTGAACAAAATGGAGTCTGTCAACCGTTTCTTGGCCTTCTGACTACGTGACTACGAGCACACATGCCCTTGAGACAAAGGAAAAGGCTAACCATAAAAGTTAAATTTACACAGGGCAGCCCACCTGCCTAGCCAGAGGGAAGAACCCTTACAGAGTAATTGTCTTTTAACAAAAGATTAAAGTGTTCCATTGAATACTTCCTACCCCTCCCTAATTCCTGCACCTGACTTACGCTGACCAGCATTTGTGGAATGCAACTGGTGACTGATGGAAAATTACAGCTTTGTCTTTACCGTATTTGGTGTATATTTGAGTTGAGACTTGATTGACATGCTTGTACCACCCCCTGAGGTCCTTCCTCTATAATTTCCAGCGCGCCCCAAAAAATAAAGGCTCTTGATCAGCGAACGTTGTCTTGAGCCTGATTCC